GTACCTAGAGGGAGGATGTATATTATGAAGAGAAGAGGGCCTAAAACTGAGCCTTGACGTACACCAGAGGTGACGGGGAATAGACGAGAGCGGAATGATCTTAGTTGAATAAACTGGTAACGGTCGAGGTGATATGATTGAAACCAGGCGAGGGGTGTGTCAGAGATGCCGAGAGAGGAAAGTGTGCTTAGAAGTACAGAATGAGAAATGGTGTCGAAGGCTGAACTCAGATCTAAAAGGACGAGAATGTGCATGTATTAAGGAGACACGGCATGTGTTACTTTTGATCTTCAGCTATTTAGCGATACACGCACTGGTCACTTTATTAGGGACACCTTGATGGTACCAGGTTGGACCCCTTTACTACAGAAGTGCCTTAATTCTTCATGGCACAGATACAACAAGGTGCTAGAAACATTGCTAAGAGATTTTGCTTCATATTTACATGATAACATTATACAGTTACTACAGGTTTGTCAGCTGCACACCTGTGATGTGAATGTCCCATTGCACCACAACACAAAAGTGCTCTATTGGATTGAGATCTGATGACTGTACAGGCTGTTTAAGTACAGTGAACTCATTATCATGTTCAAGAAACCAGTTTCAGATGATTGAGCTTTCTGACATGTTGCATTATTGTGCTGTAAGCCCATCAGAAGATGGGTACACTGTAGTCAGAAAGTCAGCAACAATGAGTAGACATGTGTTGTGTTTAAATGATGCTCAGTTGGTACTAAGGGGCCACAAGTATGCCGAGAAACTTTTTCTCACACCATTACACCAGCAGCCTGAACTGTTGATACAAGGCAGGATGCATTCATCCTTTTATGCCAAATTCTGACTCTACCATCCTAATGTCATAGTGGAAATTGAGACTTATCAGACCTAGCAATGTTTTTTTCCAATTTTCTGTTGTTCAGTTTCGGTGAATTGTAGCCTGATTTCCTGTGTTTAGTAGACAAAGATGTGGTCTTCTGCGGCTGTAGCCAATCTGTTTCAAGGTTCGATGTGTTGTTCATTCAGAGATGCACCTTTGCATTCTAATGATTGGTTGTTTGACTTGCTTTGGACCTCTGTCATCATCTGGAAGAAGTCTGGTCATTTTTCTCTGACCTCTGTCATCAACATGGCATTTTCACCTAGAGCACTGCTCCCTGGATATTTTTGCTGTTTTGGACCGTTCTCTGTAAGCTTTTGGGGTTGGTTATGCAGCAACATACTGCATACTGAAGTACTGACATCAACAACAATGCCATGTTCATAGTCACTTAAATCACTTTTGTTTGCCATTCAGATGCTCAGTTTGAGCTTTAGCAAGTCGTCTAAGCCAGTGGTTCCCAAACTTGTTTTGCTAGGTCCCCCTTTCCTTTACAAGAAAATCTTCAATTGCAAGAGTAGTTAGTCTTATAAGAAGTGTTTGTGAACTAAAAATCAAGAATTTGATTTGGAGAGCCCAGTGTGTGCTCCCGACACAGGGGAAACCTACCTTGGAACGACAGCTGTTGTGGAGGTGAAGCCCAAGGCAAGATATGCTTCATCATATGTTCTAGTCTTTGGCTTGGAAGGAAATTGGTTTGGAAGCATATTTAGCAATGCTTCTCTTTATGCTTTGCGTTTGCATGGGAGCCCCTTAAAAAAAACCTGTCCATTATGCGAGCAGTGTCCAAGCATTTTTCTTTTTTTTTAAAATTCATACAGCGCCCCCTCTGCAATGGCTTCGCTCACTTTGAGAACCTCTTCTCTAAGATCTGTTGACAAAAGGCTAAATGCATTGGGTTGCTGCAGTGTGATTGGTTGATTAAACATTTTTATTAAATTGATCAGGCATACCTAATAAAATGGCCAGTCATACATTATATTAGTAAGGGTGTGACTTACTAAGCACCCTTCTTCATCTGTATTAATGCAGTCTTCTGGGACCCTCGCTCAATTCATCTAGGTTTATGACTCCTTTATGAATTCAGAATTAGTGTATGAATGAGTTTCGGTGACTATAAAACTCATTCCACCAGTACATTAGTGAAACCAGTGAAACCAATAAAACCCTTTCTAAAGCCTTTGTATATGTTCAATAATGCTTTTCATGACTCTGATTAAAATTTTAAGTACTCTCATGAGCTTACTGTAACTTTTTAAAGATTAGAGGATTTAATGGGTCTGTCCATTTATGATACTCCAGAGGGAACATTACAGCCTCCACCTACAGCCACAAAAGAACAGGGAGGGAGCGTTTCCTACTGCAATATAACTTTTTTCTGTTTTTTTTCTTCTTTTTTTTTGCATGAAGCCTTTGAATTTTAAAACATTTAAGCATCTTTTGTTTTCCCATATTGTTTCTCTTCCTGAGTGACAGCAACAAAGCTGGTAAACTGCCAGACACCAGAACAAATGTAAAATGACACAGATTACACAAACACACTCAAAATAATGAATCGCTGATTGATGATGGGCTTCTGAGCTCAAGCTGTCCTGACATGATTTGGTTTTGCAATAATTTTTTTATCACTTTTTTTTTACTTTGTTTTCCCATCTGGATCCACTCTTCTGTCTTCTTTCCTATCCTCAACGATCCACTTAGCCCCTCCCCTGTCTCATTTTCTTTCTTTCCCACTCTGTCCAGTGTGTCACTTCATGCCTGGCTAGCTGCTGTCTCACCCATCTTGAAGAGAAGACAGTGTAGAAACAGATGTAGCACTGGCAGATATCTGACATCAAAACACTTTACAGGCCAAGCACTCTATCATTTTTCATCAGTGACAGCTCACTCTCAAAAAAACAAAAAAAAACAAAGAGGAGAAAGTGAAGATATGATGTGGAGTGTGGTTAAAAATCGAAAGACATCATGCGCACATAGAAGAATTAATACCAGTGTTTAGCGGTATCAGTTAATGGGCGGGCCATGTATGCGGTGGTTTTAGTGCAAAGTTTCCTGAGTCTGCACCTCTTCTTATAACTCCTGGAAACACATGAGAAGTGAGAGATGAGAGTGTAAGAGGACAGAGAAGGACTGATGGGTTTTTTATTATGAAAAGGTCATCTGGATATGAGCAACATTTAGCACAGCTCAACTAATCATTTCCAGCAAATTATAATGGACAAAATGCAAATGATGGAATTAAATAGAAACTACCTACCAATGTATGACTGATTAGACTTATTGTTGGTGCTCTGTATGCATTCATTTGTGATAAATGAAAAAAAAAAAGTTTCTCTTTTATTTAGATAACCATTCGTCACTTACTCAGTTAATTTTTCGATGCTTTTACCTGATGGCAGCAGAAGGAGCTTCCCGAAGGAAAAATTATAAAGAAAAAAGTGCTGTAGGTGCTACAAAGTTTTTCTGCTGTTCTGAATTTTATTTTGCATAACTTTTCGAGGTGCTTAAAGCTCAGTGATGCACATAAATCATCATTAAATTCACTGACAGGTGTGCACAGAAATCCCCTCAGTTGCTTTGCTGTGGGTGGGTCCTGAAACCTTTTAAAACTGTCTAGACAGATTTTATTGACTGATTACATCCATTAGCAAGTGACTTTTAATTTTTTTGATAGCATGCTGTAAACCAGATTGTGACATTGTCTATCTTTCTGTCTTTGGGTGTCATTGAGATACACAAGTCACAAGTTGTTTTCTGGCTTTTCTTTTTTTTCTAAATGCTAATCGGTCAGCCTAAATCTAATTTCAGGGGCTTTTGGGTCACTTGTCTGATAATTATGGAGTCAGTAATGTATTTTATTAATGTCAGTGGAATAATAAATTAGGAGGTCCATTAAAATTGCATCAAAGGTCACATGGTTTCACCTCTTTGATTGATGTGGGGAAGAGAATTTGAGATGATTAGAGATGACATCCGTGGTTCCAATAGCTTTCATTTGCCAAAACATTTATCAGCATCGAGCCTCGCTTGGGAAACATGATTGATGATAAAATGACTGCTCCAAAATGTGAAAATATGAAGCTACAAATCTAAAGAGAGGTGTTAAAAGTGGTCAGCAAAGGTATTAAACACTATCTACAGGAACCGAGAGGAAGAAAACATTTTGGGGAAAAAGTGAAATGATTTGAAAATGATTTCAAACTTGTATTTAATTGTAACTTATACACACAAATGTTCAAAAAACGTTTAAACATTTTGACTAAGTTGATGACTGGGAAGTTTACTGAAGGCTACTGGTGCCATCTGGCCGGGAACAAGTGTGACTTCACTGCTTTGCCTGAACCGTGCTTCATTTGTGTAATGTAACAAAACGAAAACATGTGTGTGAGTTTTATGCTTTATGCTGCTTCTGGTTTGTCTCTTGTTAGGTAGAGCCATCAAACATGTGAAGGAGTCTATTTTCACCTCAGAGGCGGGAGCCAGAAGGGGCGTTCCCAAAGTCCTGGTCGTTCTGACCGATGGACGTTCACAAGACGATGTCAACAAAGTGTCCAAGGAGATGCAGGTGGAGGGTGGGTATTTACGTCATTAATCCTGAAATGCAATGAACGATGACTTACTCTGGCCCTAAACTATGAGTCTGTGACAGTCGGTGAGATATGTAATGTTGTTATAATGAGTGTGTGTGGTTAGAGTCCAGGAAGAAGATCAGAGAAAATCCTCATTCGACCTCTCTGTTTTAGTCCCGTATCTCTCACGCTGCTGCGGCAAGAAAACTAACAGTGTGTTAGATTAAAGGACTTAATTAATTCCAGCTTGTAATGAGTCTTCTTATTTAATTTCATTCTCAGGCTACATCATCTTCGCAATTGGCTTTGCGGACGCAGACTACGGCGAGCTGGTGAATATCGCCAGCAAACCCAGTGACAGACACGTCTTTTTTGTGGACGATTTGGACGCTGTGAAGAAAATAGAAGAGCAGCTCATTACCTTTGTCTGTGAGGCTGCCACTGCCAGTGAGTAACACCAGCTCATGTTTAAAACAGAGAGAGAGAGAGGCCGGGAGGAAAATGAGTTCAAGTCAGATGGGGATACAGGTAGATAGAAGGGAAGAGGGACAGAATAAAACTCAGCGGGGAGAAAAGGAGATATGTATCCTGAGGGAAAAAAATGGAGGAGAGGAGAACTTGTGCTAATGTTGAATGAACTAACAGACTCAGTTTTGTTCTTTCAGCTTGTCCGTCTGTTTTGATGAGCGGTAACACGTTGGCAGGTAAGAGTTTCAAATACCAATCACACAGGGCCATGCACTGTGCTGAAATCCCTGGAGAGGAAGTAAATAATAATGACTGCAATTACATCATGATGGCCCACATAGTGGTGCTAGCAATGATTATTGATTATTACACCAAAGTGTTAATGGTGATGATTCTGCTGCAGGTTTCCGTATGATGGAGAAGTTTGGCCTGGTAGAGAAGGAGTATAGCACCATACCTGGAGTTTCTCTGGAGCCGGGTTCATTCAACAGCTTCCCTTGCTACAGGTTACACCGTGATGCCCTGGTGTCTCAGCCCACCAAGTGAGTAAATGAACATTGATCCATCTGTTCACATCACAAGAATTGTGTCCTCCTTGAGTATTGGTCAGATTTTACTGGAACTTACAAACAGTGATCACCTAATGGGCTTTCACTCAAACTGTGCTCAACGCTAATGAGCTTTATAAACTCCAAACACAGCTCCAAATTCTTTAAGGTTGCATGTTGCTACATTTTGCATGAATAAAATGATAAAGACAGAAGTTCACTGAATACCATTTGATATGATAGCTTGAAACATTGCTTTGTATACCACTTGTATCCTGTTAGATGGTTAGATAATAAAATAATAATAATGGATTGCATTTATATAGTGCTTTTCGGGGCCCTCAAAGCACTTTACAATTCCACTATTCATTCACTCTCACATTCATACACTGGTGGAGGCAGCTACAGTTGTAGCCACAGCTGCCCTGGGGCAGACTGACAGAAGCGAGGCTGCCATATCGCGCCATCGGCCCCTCTGGCCATCACCAGTAGGCGGTAGGTGAAGTGTCTTGCCCAAGGACACAAAGAAAACTAACTATAAGAGTGATCTTATTGGTCATGGTGAAGGATGGAGTGGTCCTAATGGGTGAATCTCACATAAGGAAGGTGTGGTTTGGGACTTTCTATCACCATTATGCTAAAGTCAGTATTGTGTCCACTGCCAAGTATAACATGCTGATGTGTTTACATATTTTTACCATACTTTTTGGTTATGGTTGTAAATACTCCTGAACTCAAACACTTTCTTTTGGTAGTGAATTGAATAAATTTGTCCTGGGTATCTTGAGAGACTCTTTGACTTCTCATTGGATTTTAATTCTCATTAGTTTGTGCAATACAGCCAACGAATGGCAAGATAACTTATCAGTTTCTACAAATTACACTTTACAAGAACCTGTGAACTGTGATGGATCACAAGACACATGAGTTACTGTGCCACTGAAATTGTATTTCAGTTGTGCATCATTATGTCGTCTGATAAGGAAGTGGATTTGCTCAGATTACTGTTCTCTTTATTTTCATTAATGATTTGCTGTGTTTTAGCTGAACTCACAGTTTAGCTTTTCTAATTGATTTTCTTGTCAGAAAACTCTTAACTGGAGTCTGCATCTAATATAACAGTAACTTTTAAACAGCCAAAAAACATCCATCCATTTTCTTAACCACTTATCCAACTTTAAAATGGGATTGGAACCCATCCCAGCTGCCACATGGTGAAAAGCTGGGTACACCCTGGACAGGCTGCACTTCATTCGCAGAATTAACACATACAGACAGATAGCCCCTCATCTAACATCCAACATGCATGACTTTGGACTGTGGGAGGAAGCCACACAGGCACAAGGGGAACACAAAAGCATGCCAGTAACCTTCTAACTGTGAGGTTATTGTCCTAACCAACTGCAGCACCACGCTACCCAAGCCAAGAAACAACTGATCACATTTCTTCTTTATGACTGCTAACTCGCCTGACAGCACAAATGCTTGATGAACAATTGGCACATCTGGAGTTGGCAGCTGGGCATAGCTTTATTCAAGTGTCATTAAGAATGAGATTAGATCTTAGAGCAAATAAGCAAAGATGATTTTGGCCATAAGCAAAGATGATTTTGGCCATAAGAATGATCATGACACATGGACACGATGATAAATGAATCAGAAACATCTGTAATGCACTACTTTCTCCTTCCTAAGGTCTGGGTTCACACACTTCTGATAGCTGTGTGCCAAATCAGGAAGCTACATTTGTGTTTTTAATATGTTTGACTTTTTTTCTGATTTACGGTTAAAGTAAATGCCTCTGTATTTACATTCATGAATGAGTCTTTTTAGTTCTTGGCAATGATGCACCTACTTTGTTGAATGTGTTCTTGACTTAGATGTTGTAAAGGTGTTTTTCTTATCCATGGAAATAATTCTGTCATCACGCACTTTAGTTATCTTTTGTGGTCTTTCTGGGTTTTCGATCTTGTTGGCCACTATATTCTTTCTTTTTAAGAATGAACTAGATTGTTAAGATGGTCACGTCTAAAGTTTTTTTTTTCTCTCTGATAGATTTATTTTGGTTTTCTTGGTTAATGAGCACCTTTTTTTACTTTGTTCGGCATCTCTTTTGATCTATTTTTGATAGTTTCCACGAAAAGCTCCCAAATGCAAGTTAAACACTTTGAATCACCTGCAGGTTATTTATCTCCTATTTGTCATAGTATAATGAGAGAAACTGCTTCACCTGGCTATTAAACTGCCTGTCAGCCAGTTGTCCAATTATTGTTGAGCCTCTAGAAATAGAGGACTGTTTATACAAATGGCTCTAATTCCGAAACAGTTATAATGCAGTACAGCACCTTTGTTACAACCCTTAAATTAAAGCTGAAAGTCTGTACTTCAATCACACATTGATTGTTTGATTTAAACTGTGGTGGTGTACAGAACTGTGTCATTGTCCATCGTACCTTAAACAAAATTAACTATTTTGTTTGGTCTGTGTTTTTATATCTACAGTTTTAAACATGTACAAGGTTTTGAATAAACAAACACACAATTAAATAAATAAGTACATTTTTATTTTAATAAATAAATAACATTTAATCAGTGTTTTGATAATTTGACATTGTGTACACTTTATTAATCCCATAGGAAATTAGTCCTCTGCATTTAACCCATTCACTCAGTGAAGCAGTGTATAAAGGCAGCACCTTGCTTATGGGTATCTCAGGGTAGCTGTTTGGTGGATTTAAACCCCCAACCTTGCTATCATGGGGCAAAGACTCTACCTACTGAGCTATCACTATCCCCGGCTAACCAATACATTCACTATTTCTTGGAATTGCACATCTCTAGAAAGTCAGGTACAGAACTTACAGTGAAACATGTTGTTTTAAAGCTAAAACTGCAACGAGCCAGCCAGGAGTCAAACCTA